GCCCGGGCGCCTTCCTCCAGCCGTTGATGACTGAGGGGGCCGCGCCGAACACCTTGTCCGAATAGTCCGCCATCGGTAAGACACCCATAGTAGCGAGCTTTGCACCGATCTTCTTCCGAACAGCTCCTTGTGCAAAGCGCTTGACACGGCTGAACCGATTTTGTGCTCCCCGTCGACGCTGGGCTTGCTGAGGGCGTCGGGGGCCAACTGCGCCCCGATCAATGCCAAGGTCCGTGGCGCTGCTCTCGATCTCGACCGTGAAGCCTTCTTTAGCAAAAAAAAATCTAAAGAGCCTTCCCCAGGTCAGCTTGATTGGTGGCGATGGTGGATTTAGTCGAAATAACCAAAGCAGCGTCGGGACACCCTTTGGCAAATGTGAGTTCTGCCTGCAAGGCCAGCCCAAGGACCCTCTTGTACCTTGCTTCCACGCGCTGAGAAACATCGTCAACCCAGGGCCGTGTAGTCGCCCCTGGCGCACCTCGGGCTACTCGGTCGAGAATGTTGCAACGCGCACCTTGAGAAATCAACTGCACCTCCCGAGCCCGCAATCATGCTCTGCTCAGGGATGACGGCGTTGGAGTAGTACCCGCTATCACGTAAGCAGCGGGCTCCCATGTGCAGGATCATCTCCAAGGCCAGTATGCCAGGGAGAAACTCATGCTCCAGACCTGATTCAAGGAATAACTTCCACTTGAGAGCGCCGAAGAATCCTTCAATATCCCACATCATACTTGCCTGCGCCCAGCCTTGAATCGTAGATGGAGCCACCGTCTCGCCCAGGTAGCTGCGCAGCAGGGCCTCGCGTGAGGCAGGCGATCCCGCCGCAGCAGCGTCCCAATGGCCAGCCCTATCGCGGGCCCAGCTGGCACGGTACCCACCTACCACAGCCTCGAAAGGTTATACCCTACCCCGGTGGCCTTGTCGTCGCCTGAAGGTTTCTTCGTGCGAGTCGCCAATGCTATTGTGAGCTGCCAAGGCCAGACAACCTCCTTCTCAATCTGCTGAACAAATGCACCAATTCCAACTTGCCTTGCTCTGGGGGCCAAGCCAGATCTGACCCAGCTGCTCGGTGCCCTTGGCCGAGGTGCCCTTCGTCCTCCTGATGCCCTTCCCCAGCGTCTCTCCAAATCGAAGGTGGGGGGGGGGCTTCCCTGAAGCGGTCGCGCGCAGCGCTCAAATTATTCGACGCCTTCTCGATATCCGAATAAGGATCACTCTACTTCTTTCGCCGGACCTTCGCTCTGATACCCATCGCCGTGAGCGGATCGGAGGAGACATCCAGACCGTCCTCGAACTCGTCCTCCGCTGCGGCCTTGTCCTTGATAAGTCGGAATAACTTGCCAGGCGCCGCAATGTGCTGCTCTTCCGCCCAGTGCGAGAACGCTGGATACGGCGTGTAGCACCCCATTCTTTGTAGACTGCTGGCAATCTTGCTGCAGTCCTCCTTGTGCCTGCCGATGGTGTCATTCGTGGCAGAGCTCAACGTGCGAAGCCTCCTGCACCGTGGCTGCTTCTCCTTCCTCGGCAAAGAGGCCAGCGTGGGAGTAGGTGCGCTTGCTGTCGCATCCCTCAGTCTGTTGATGAGCTGGCTAAGCCCGGGAGCCCCACGTTGCGAGGTGGCCCTGTCAAGTTCCTCTAGCAAGAAGGCAATTCTAGCCCACCAATCCACCCCGGGGTGCCGAGTCCGAGTAAAAAGGAGAAGAAGGCACAACTTTGTTGGTCCTGACCTAACGGGCAATGCCGCTACCACGCTGGGCTTTGCCGTCCTTGTCCAACCCCTCACCATCTAATAGAAAGCTGAAATAGTCCTCCACCTTGCTGACCCACTTGCCAAACTGATGTCCCAAGGAGGAAGCGCTGTCGGCCGTGGTTTTCACAATCTTTTGTCATTGATGATGACGATCGAGTCCCGCGCCTCCTCTCTGATGCGCAAAGACCACTTCTCGCCCAACCCTTCATCAACTGCTGGTGGGACTAGGCCTGCTCCAGGTTCATCCTCGGGTAGTGGGTCCTCGTCGTCCTCCTCCTCGTCATCGCACCCCGACTCCCCCCCAAGTCCGTAGGGCCCAGGTAGTAGAAGGGCGGCGGTGCCTGGATCACCAATCTCTTGCGAGATTCCAGCGCAGGTGCTTTGGGCCTCGTAGCCATCGGGGTCGCCACCGCCACCAGCTTCCGTGTGCGCTTACTGTTCGGGTCGGCCCATTTCTTCGGCTGATTGGGTGGTCCGAAGGCCTTCTTGGGAAGTCCCAGCGCGCGTCCTGCTGCTTCTGTGGCCTCCAGCAAGGGATCCAGCACTATGCCAGAATTGGCCTTGCCCCGTCACCAACCATATCAGTGCCCGCGTGTACCCGTTCAAGGTACTCAAGAGCGGACCCTGATGCCACCGCGTAGTCGATGAGTGTACCTTGCCCACAAGAGTACGTGTAATCCACATTGTCGGCAATCAGTCTGTTTCCCTGCACCAAGTTGGGCCACCCTGCTTCCCGAAAGGGCTTCAGGCGGGAAGTTCCAGTCGCACAAGATGACCCACGGTGTGGATAACGATGGCACCAACGACGCCATATGACGCAACTTCTCCACATTGGCTCCTGTAGTCTCCAGTCCGTTGTAGAGGTAGCCGCCAAGGATCGTGATGCGCGCGCCCTTCAAGAGTACCTGCATCCCAACCAAGTCTTTGAACCGAACGCTCGTGGTGATGTTCTGGTCCTCGTTGTGTTGGTCGACTCTCTTGCCTGGTAAGTCGTCCATGGTCGAGGCAAGATGTCGCAGGGGGCAAGATGCCCATTTCTTGGAGACTCACATAGCTACTCCACCTGCCTTCGAAGTGAAGTGTGCCGATCCAGCACTGCCAGGGCAAACCGTGCTCTCGTAGCCCGCTTTTTCAAATTCCACCAACGCATCGTGCGTCTCCAACATGTCCTAGTGAGTTTCCTGGATGATGATTGTGTCGTAAGGTCGCTTCAGTAGCTGCCTTGCCGAAAGGCCCCAAGTCGACATGTTGTGCATGTACATGCGGAACTTCACGCCTCCATCCTCTTGAGGTGAACCTTCTGCCTTCGCTGCCTGCTTCCCAGTCCCAGTGTCCGATCCATGGCCCACGTCAGAGGAAGTGGTAAACTGACCCAAGGTGAAAGAGACCCAACTCCAGACCAGGTTAGCCCTATCTTGGGCTAGATCGTCCACGTCACTATCCTCGCCACCGTCTGGGAGAGGCCGATCGGGTGGTACTCGATTCCCAAGCAAGCGCCTGAATCGACGACGCAGTTCCCGAAGGTCTTGATAGTGCCATCTGACAAACCTACGGTACTGATCCCTGTCCCTGATGCCATTGAGCGTCACAAAGAAGAATGCGCGATTAGGTTCGGCCCGGGTCCAAACTTCAGTGCGCAACATCTCGGCGATCTCCGCCAACCTGCGGTCATTGAAGCTTTCCAAGTTGATGCGCATCGCCCTCCGTGATCTGTGAAGGGCCTCGATGAAGTACGGTGCGCACCATTCTCTCCAATGCTCAATGCTGTTAAATCTTTCTCCTCGGATATTGTGGATCCATCTTGCTGCTGTAGCTGTCATCTCATCGCTTAGCAGTCGCCGTTCCCGATTGTCGGTCCTGGGTAACGGAACATGTGGTGGCCAACTACCCATCCAACCCGACTGATTCGGACTGCGTCCAGCAAAACGGCTGGCCGTTTGTCCCACGCGGCTGTTATCCCAGGCCTCCGGTGGACTGGGTGCCCTGGGGGCAAGTCGGCTGCCGCGGCGAAACCAGGACGAACCTGGTTTCGCCGCGGCAGCCGACTTGCCTCAGAGAAAACAAGCTTCCAAGATACCGACCAGCCTGAGTACGATATCTCATCTTCCCAAAAGAGAAAGAAATCCTGCCCTCCGTGGAAGAAACGGCCGCACAACTCAAGGTCATCTGCATCCCAGTCAAGGCCAGGGGCCCCGAGGAGGGGCCACCCCCTGGTGGCCATCTGTGAAGCCGTTGACCGCATCAGCGTTGTCCGGGCCAGGGTTCCCGCGAGGGGCCACCCCCTGGGTCGCATCTGAGTCGAAGACGAGCTTCGTCTCCCAGTACTTGCCAGGGGTCCCAAGGGGCCTCCCCCCCCTGGTGTGCCAGATTACCAGGGGTCTCAGGAGGAGCCACCCCCTGGAATACCTCTGGGTCGTAGTAGTGCGCATCATCCAAGTCCTTGCCAAGGGCCCCGGTAGGGGCCACCTCCTGAAATAAGCGCAAGCCCTTGATGTAGCTGCCAGGGGTCTCAGAAGGAGCCGCCCCCTGGAATGGCCCGCGCGCTGTCGAGAAAGCCGCCGTGCCCGTAGTAGATCTGCCCGACGATCCCTCTTCGCTGGCCCCCCTTCTGCGCTGCGACCAGTTCAAGGCTGGGCGGGGGCCAGAGTTCTGCCGAGGGTGGGCTATCATCGAACACTCGGCGACGGGGTCCTCTTGGCTGTGCGGGTCTGTTCTAGGATGGCCTTGAGCTCCTTCTGCTTGTCCGTCGCCACTTGAGCAACGCCTTGCAAAGATGAAGGAGGCGCCGACCCCGTAGCTGTCCCTGTAGCACTCTGAGGTGCCGTAGGTGCTGCCGTAGAGCCTGGAGGCACTGCCGCTGCAGTGGGAGCTGCCGCTCCCGTCTCAGCTCCTTCGTCACCTGTGTGTGGAGCCACTGGCCCTGGCGAAAGACTGCCCTTGCGCTTCCTGGTAGCCTGCCAGGAACCCAATTCCTCTCTTTTTTCTGCTGCTGCTCGGCCAACGTTGCAACCATTTGATTGAGCTGTGAAGATAGCGCGGCCCTGAACTTGTCCTCGAAAAATGACTTCCGACGCCCAAGCTCGATGCAATCTTGCTCCTCCAACTCCACGTCTTCGAAGCTACCTCCCAAACTGAGCTTGAGTTCAGCCTTCTTGTCCAAGAACTCGCGTACGTCCAACTTCCCCAGTTCAGGCCGCCGAACAGGTTCTGGGGCAAGCTATTGGGCAACCGCTTCTTGCGAGACGATAGCCTCTGCCAGGTTGGCCGCGTGCTCCTTGTACTGGTCCATGGCCGTGCCCAGCTCCTTCTCCAATCGGAGAACGCGCTCAGCAACCTTGGCCAACGCAATTTCAGCACGTTCAACTCTCTGTGAGGCCTCGGCCAGCCTGATGGACGGGGAGTTGGGGGGAGCCGCTGGTGTCTGTGCCAAAGTAGACTGTAACATACGAGCCTGCTCTGCTGCAGCGCCGCCCTTCGCGATGATGAATCCCAAAAAGGATTCAATGTCCACGGGTACCTGTCCGCGCTGACCACCTCCACCATGTGCAGGCCGTGAGCCATTGGGGCGTCCCTTGAGGAAGTTGCTGCAGTACTGGCACGTGTAGTCGAACTTCTCGAGCTGGTCGTTGTAGCAGAACTTGCCGCACACCTTGCACCAAGTGGCGCCCCTTCCCGGCTTGGGCATGGTGATGTTCTGGTTCGAGATATTGGTAGCTGGCATCCATGACTTGTTCGTGTCGGAGTTACCGAACGTCCGTGGTGTACCTCCCAGAGCGGGCCAAGCGTCACCAAGAGACGAGTTCGAGCCTGAGGTACCCAATGATCACCAAGGGGCCCATTGTTGCCATGAAGCCTTATATTGCTGCCTGCTACCCTTTCCCATGGCTGCGCGCGCCACGAGAAGAGAAGGGCGGGAAATTGGATACCTGTGGTGATCAGGTTCCTGAAGACGGATGAAAGTTTGCTGCGGACTAGCAGCGTCCTTGCAAGCGCGGAGGCGCGGAGCCCCCTGTGTGCAGACATCTTGAGCCAAAAGGCTACGGGAGAGGAGGAGGAGGAGGAGGAGGAGGAGGAGGAGGAGGAGGAGGAGGAGGAGGAGGAGGAGGAGGAGGAGGAGGAGGAGGAGGGGGAGGAGGAGCTGGCGGGAGCAAGGAGGAGGGGAGGGCATGCCGCTCCGTAGTGCTGGTAGGCCGCGCGGAGAGAGAACGTTGCAGGGCGGCCTAGAGGCGCCGTATGACCCGTTCCGGGAGCGCGCTGTGGCGTCTCGAGCTGTGGACGCCCCGGCGAAACATGCGTCTGTCGCGCGCGTCCTGCTGCGCCGCTTCCTCGTGCCCAGTGCTCTTGATCCTGCCCCTGCTCCCATGGATGATGCTCGACGCGGTGATCCCAGTCTGTGCATAGGTGTACTTGTTGTAGCAATTTGCCACATGATGGTCGCAGTGATGGTGAGCGAGCCTTGATGTGAGTTAATGTGAATCGTTATAAACGACTTAGTACCAATTGGCCAGACTTTGTGAGTGAGAGTCTTGGCTTCGATAGATCATCGCACGAGTGCTGGGTTTGGGTGAAAATTACTGCTTGCGTGTGCGTCTGAGTATGGGGATCTGGATGCGAGAGGGTCTTTGCACAATTGGGCCTGAGCCTGATTGAGCCTGGCTGTTTGCGAGTCTGCGTATGATAGACTGTGTATGGAGGGGCTGATCGTGAGTGAATTTGAGCCTGAGTGACTGTGTATGAGCAACTTAGCATAAGAGGGCCTGAGTATCAATGAGTGGTACGGATGACTCTGATCGTACGTGAGTCTGAATCGGATTGAGTCTGAGTATGAACGAGTCGGGCTCCGAGTGAGTCAGAGCAGGACCGAGTGGGTATAAATGAGTCTCAGTGTGGTACGCGTGGGTTTGAGTTTGAGTGGCTTAGCATGGGTGGGCCTAAATGTGTTTTAGTATGGATAATGACGTGAGTCAGTAGGTGAGTGCGTGTGTCTCAGTATGTGTGATTGAGTGAGAGCGAGTCTGAGACTGAGTGTGTCTGAATAGGACTGGTTGACTGGTTCTGCGTATGAGTGAGTCTGAGCATGAGCGTGGGCCTCATGAGGCCTTCCAGGCCTGCATGAGACTTTCTTGTGGCTCCCGGGTCCAGCCCCATGTGTCTCCAGGGCCATCGGGGAGTCAGAAGCATCCGTGGGGCACCTGCGTAGCCATTTTGGTTCAAGTAGGGTCGCCTCTCGGTTGGCGAGATCGTAGTTCGAGTAGCTGTCTATCACACTTACACATCACACCACTGAGCGTTCCTGCGTATCATTGATGGCAAACTTCTCAGTGAGTCGGATTCCATGCTCGCCCGCGCAGGTGCAACAGACCTTCCAGAAAGGTTCAAAGGGGCTTGCCAACCACAGACTTATCCTGTGGTTCGCAGTGCCCTTTACTGTGATTCCAAGGTGACTACTACGTTTTTGACACACGTCCAGGAAATTGTGCGGAACAAGGCTTCATATCCATTTCGACATGTTTCTGCTCTCGCTTGGCGTGCTCGGCTGCCTCCTCAATTCCCGCAGCACGAAGAGCACGGAGGAAATCTCCAATGTGAAAGAGCTGACCACCGCACATTCATTGATCATCGGCAAGGCGGTTTTCGACGGCAGGCGCGGAGCCTGGTGCGCACACTCCGTTGAGGAACGCGCGTCGTCTAGAAAACCAGGTGGTGTTCATAGCAGCCCCGAGGGCTCAGGGGATCTTCTTGGGCATGGAAGGGACCGATCGAAGTCTGACATGTACATCAATCATCCAGTGCGCGCAGAGAGAGAGAGGGCGTGGCCCACCAGCTCCCCAGAGTGTTGGAAGTGAGGCATGCCCCCATCGTGCTTGTACACGGAGACGCAGCTGTGAAGTTGTTCGACCAGATGTCGGAGAAGAGGACCGCTTTAGGTGCACACTTCATTCACAAGGCCGTGTCAAACAATTTCTTCAAGCTCGTCGCTGGAACTCTCGATGACAAACGTAAGTGGACGGGTTGCGGCTTCTTGAATTAGTTCCAGCTCGTGGGATCCACCCGTCGTTTATTGCCCAGAACCGTTTCCTTGCTGCGCGGAAGAATCCCTTTCCGGAGAGTGTCGCAGAATACTTCCAAAAGTGGAGAACGCAGGTATCACCCTCAGCGACTGAGCATCCCTTTGCATCGTTGTGGCCTACGATCGTTCCGATCCAGAATTTGCCTTGAAGGTTTGGACTGAAACGGAGGGATCAAGAATTCATCTCGACCGGGCGGCACCAACGAGGCCCACGAGCTGTTCGGTAAGATGGCTGACCATGTGGTGTCTCCCATCGCAAGGTGTTATGGCACCATGATTGGGATCTACTCATTCAGAGGCTAATTCGAGAAAACCGTAGCCATCCTCGAGATGATGCGGGAGCAGTCCTTCGAACCTGACCGGTTTGCCTACCATCACATGCAATATATGTTTGCATTATGCTCAAGCGCGTTGAATATGCCGTGGCTTTGCTTACTTGGCTCCAGCAACAGTTTCCTGGGAAACTCGCAACAAGAAGTAGATGTGTGCACGCCCATCGGCGAGATGAGTTGTCGTGCGCACGTGCTCAGCAGTCGCGCGCGCGAGATCCCAAGACGCCCCCATGACCACAAAATGGTTCCAAGAGGGCCTGAGGCCACAGGCGGCAACGTCCAGACGACCCTGGGATGACGCCGCCCCAGCACGATCCCGCCATGGATTCTGGACCGCTTCAGGCCGACTCGAAGATGGCCAAACACATGAGCCACGAGTGACGCCGAGATGGCCCGATGGCAGCAAGATGGGTCCACGCGCGCCCAGTGTGGCCCCAGACTGAACACGCAACGCTTGCGCGATCCAAGCATGACCGAGATTTGGTCTCAAGCTGACCTCAAGACGGCCCTGACGGAGCCTCATCTTGCTTCGGGCCGATCCCAGCATGGCGTGATCCGTGAACGACCCGGGATATTTGGTTACCATATTTTTAAGGATTGGGATTTTATTCTGGTTGAACTAAATTATAAGATTACAGGGGGTAAGTTAGGCGGGATCTCGCCCGGCCCACGGCAGAAGACTACATTGCTAGGCTTCTACGGGGGTAGGGGGGGTTCGGGCGGGGCGTCATTTACTTCCGCTGTCTTCCGAAAGCCTTCGACGGCCATCCGTCGTCTTCCGCCTCGTTTTATTTCCGCTGGCTTTCACGAGCGAGCGACGTGACGAACATTCATGGAATTTTTCAGTGGGCCGATATAAGGACGCGGTTCAGGCTGAGGTGCCTTTGAGCACGAGCACGTACGTCATTCTGAGCCGAACGTGCGAAGACGTCGGCTGGACTTGTTGGGCAAACAAAGTCGAAACGGAATCGGCAAGCCAGCAAGCAGCGCGTAGAAGGAGGCAAAGGCCGCGCATCATATTCAAGCGTGGCATGAGGTCAACGGTGCAATGTCAAGCGAGCGGTCCAGGTCAGACGCAGCAAGTTGTTCGTTGACGTCTGGCATGGCCGCACGGTTGCCGCCAGGCCACGGTATCTAGTCTTGAGGTCATGTTCGCATAATCGATTCTAGTTTCAATTTTCTCCGCGTCCCAGCTTTTTTGGGCAAGAGCTTGCGGCAGGAACTCCCGCTGTTGTGCAATGCGTCGTTTGTACTTTGGGGCACGCACGTCATCCCAGGTCATTATCCTTCACTTGGCCTGCTCGCTACTACTTCTTCTCCGATTTTTTCAATGAATAAGGTCAGTTCTTTTCATCGCAGAGAAGTATCCCCGCAAACTATCCGCAGCCCGCAGGCTTGCTTTTCATGGCAGATTGCGTCTGCGCGGAACTTCTCTCCTCATCCGTGTTTGTTCTTCTCCTCCTTCGCCCTCTTCCTCTTCTTCTCCTCTTCCTCCTCTTCATCCTCCTTCAGCGGAGGGTGAGTAGTATGGACATGCTAGCTTCTCGGGCCGTCTTGGCCGTGTCTGGGGGCCGTGATAGGTCGAGACCCGCACCCCACCCTTCCTCCTCCTCCTCGCTCTTCTTCTTCTTCTTCGCTCCTGCTCCTCCTCCTGCTCCTCCTCGCTCCTCCTGCTCGCTCCTCCTTCCTCCTCCTTCGCCCTCCTCCTCTTCCCCCCCTTCTCCCCCGCATCACATCCTCTCCTCGTGCCGCCGGCGCGCTTCTACTTTTTGTTTCTCCGAGGGTCTGAGCAGCCACCGCGCGTGCGAGCCGTCCGCCACCACGCCCTGCCTGTTCCAATTTCGTAACACGAGTGAGGTGGCCACATCCATCCTCCTCCTCCTCCTCCTCCTCCTCTTCCTCCTCCTCCTCCCAGACGAGCAGTCTTATGCCCAGACCTCCCACCCCCATGGAAGCCTCCAAGACAGCTCCAAGCAGACCCCCCCACCACATGTGACCCCCCCCGCTAGGAGAGAGGAGGGAGGATGCAGGAGGCAGGCGGGAGGAGGGAGGAGGGAGGAACACTTTCTCGTGCCTCGTCGTATCGTGCGTGCGTGACGGCATTCGTTTGTTCGCCCTGCTTGAACTGGCTGGCTGCAGCCGTCCCGTGGCGCGATCTGCGGCAAACCGTGCTGCACGTTGGCTCGTGCACTCGCCGTTTCGGCGGCCGCCGTGCTCCGACCCGTCTCGCGCTGCTGCGCAGCTTTCTGCCGTGGAGATGAGGGGCTGCTCTAGGGCGAGGCCATCTGATTCGGGGGCAAACCACGGCAGCTTGGTGTACCCTCTTCATTCCGTCTTCGGCGTCGACTCGCGTCGATTGACGA